CAATAAAACATCACAAAATACACAACAGACTCAAAAAAAAATACACCATATAACTCACAACCCCAATGGTGTATTTCCGAACAGTGTATGGTGTTTTTACTCACACCTAATGGTGTGTGTTTGGTGATGCAGGGCTCTGTTTACTCTGTTTTGTGTGGTGTATTTTCCTAACGTTGATGGTGCATATTTGTTGAACTATTGGTGTTGCCGCACCGTAAGACACTGCCGCACCTGAACCCGCCTCTCTCTCTCTCTATATATATATATATATATATATATATATATATATATATATATATATATATATATATATATATATATATATATATATATGTTAAATATTACTTACATTGTCTTGGTTAGAACATGGCTTAAAATCTTAAATATTCGATAGTGTTAATTGATTACACTTTTTTTTTTTTGAAAGGAAAAACTCAGCAATTTTATTAAATCATTGAAGCAATACAATAAGGAATAGAATCCAACCAACAGATAGAACCAAGTACTAGAACGAGCAGTCCTAGCCATAGCATGAGCTAGCTTGTTATCTGATCTCGGGATATAGAGAATAGACACTGAATCAAAGTGTCGTTTGAGATTACGACAATCCTTAATAACACAACCCGCATAAGATAAATCCATTGAAGAATGGTTGAGCAAATTACATACCACTTGACAGTGTATAAATATTCACTTTATGAAAGCCTCTATCCATAACCCACCACAGTGCTTCCTTAATAGCAAGAGCCTCCGCCAAATGTGCGTCATTGAGACATCGTAGATGACCATTCTTCGTTGCCATGAAGCTTCCTGTACTATCCTGGATAACAACACCAAAGCTCGCATGTTGAGTATAGCGGCGTCCACAAACACCACAACACAATCACGTGGAATATCGATAGGAGACTCTATGTTACCAGGCAAAGGAACCATGCTTGAAGCAGTAGCCTCTCAGAATTCCAGCCATTCATGAATAGTCCTCGCCACTTCCGTAGAGATAGCCTTTGGGTGCCAACTCTTTTGATTCCATATCAGAGAATTACGAGCACGCCATATGCACCATAGCCTTGCCACACAAGAAATAACAGACAAACCATCATCTTCCAACAGACGGTTAGCCAACCAAGCACCGAAATCTTCAGTCGCATAAGGCAAAGAGCAATTTGGTACGTTCTGCCAGAGGAGGGAAACATGCAAACAATCGCAAAAAATATGCTTAATAGACTTAGGGTGTTGCTGACAAAGAGGGCAAGATGTATCTACCTCAACTCTTCTTCCACCTAGAGCAAGTAACGTGGGCAGCGCTTCATGCAGACATCGCCAAAGAAAATTCTGCACGTTTGGGGGAATTTTTATTTTTCAGATTGCGTGCCAAGCTCTAGAGTTATTAACACCATGCGACTCTCCAGATAAGAGGCGATATCCCTGTCTCACAGAGTAAACACCACGTGAGTCTCCCCTCCAACACCATTCATCCTCATAATGATAAGCAATAGGTTCTGAATGAGTTCCACATCACGGCTATCAAATAATATGGACAGTATATCAACATCCCACTCATGAGTATCATTGTGAATTAAATCACTAACCAACATATCACCGTTATGGGAATGGAGAGCAGTGCTAATATAACGATTTTCGTCATTTGGTAACCAATGTTGCGTCCATACCTTCGTAGAAGTTCCATTACCAATCCTACGATAGCAACCGCGACGTAGAATGTCCTGACCAGCATGAATTGATCGCCAGCAGTAACTGGGATTCACACCCAGTTTAGCATTCATAAAGTCAGTATTTGGATAGTAACGAGCCTTATACAATTGTGCCACCCAAGAGTTAGGATTTGTCAAAAGACGCTAGCCTTGTTTGGCCAGAAGTGCAATATTGAATCTGCTAAGCTTTTTAAATCCCAACCCGCCATCGACCTTCCTCTCACACATACGACTCCATGACATCCACCTTATGCGCCCTCCACGATTATTGCCAGATTCCCAACAATACTTATTCATTATTTTCTCCAGACGATCATAGAATGTAACCGGTAAGAAATAGATGCTCATTGTATACATTGGTAGTGCTTGGACAATACTCTTAAAAAGTACCTCTTTCCCTGCCCTTGACAAGATCTTCTTATGCCACCCTCCAACACGTTGAATCAACTTTGTTTCAATAAAGGAAAATACTTCCTTTTTATTGCGCCCAATTCCCAAAGGAAGCCCAAGATACTTGTCAATACCTATGCAATACCTATGCAGTTCTCTGCTCTAAGGTTATAGTTTCCACGTCATTATAGGTGTGTGTGATTTAACACTTAAATATTCATCAAAATTTTGATTCAATTCAATATTTATTTGCATGAAATTTGTGTTAAATATTAACATGGTTGCAGTAGGCGCTAGGCGCTAGTCGGGCGGCCGGGTAGCGCCTAGCGCCTAGGCAGAATCTAGGCGGCGCTAGGCGGGCACCAAAAAAATTAAAAAAAATAGTGACAGATTTGTAGTTTGACAATTTTAATGAGGTTGTTTTCAACATTCAATCAAATAACACATCTAAACAAATGAAATAATGATAATTTATAAGTCATAACATCATAATAATATTAAAATCAATAATTAATGAAAGACGACATTGGTCAAAATCGAACAAAATCGGTCAAAATCAAACAAAATCGGTAAAAAACGGTCAAAATCGGTCAACTCGGCCGAGTTGACTGACTCGGCCGAGTTGATCGACTCGGCCAAGTTTGACCGCCCAGGCCGAGTTTGGCCGCCCAGCGGCCAGCCGAGTTTTGGCCGCCTTTAAGCCAAAACGGCAAGGCTCGGTGCCGCCTAGCACCTAGGCAGGCGCTTAGGCGGCCGAGTTTTGCAACCATGAATATTAATTAGAGTGTCAATTGATTGCATGGTTGATACATGTAGCTTGGCACTTGGCTACTCTGATATTGATTCCCTTCTTCGGCGTTTGTAGTAAGCTATTAAATGGGGAACTTTTTTTTTTTGGGAAAAATCAAATGGAAACTAACCTACTTTGTTGTTTTACAAGTAGAGATCAGAGGTCTAACTCATGACCCCATTTTAATATCTTATTATTATATTATCACCATATATTACGTGAAATATTAGATTTAAATACAGTCTAACGATACTAAATAGAATCTACGAGAAACCTAACTTCATAGTAGCAGAAGCAGACGCAGATCTCCAGCCATAGTTGATGGATCTTGTTGTGTTGCTTAGGACTGCAAAGTGTTAATAGTTTTGTCTCATACTTGACTCAGAACACTAGACATGTAGACATGTAGATGCTTGTTAGAGAACAAGTCATTGAACAATGACTGATTACAAAATATCACATGGTGTTTGCCTACGTGACATCGGTATATTGAATGTTACACAAGTATGCAATAGTCTTTTTACTTGAGATGACATGAATGATTGTCTCATACATATAGTGGACTATTGTTTGCCAATATACGCTATTTGTTCTCTTATGAGACTATATATAAGTATATTTGGTGACCTAGTTTAGTTTTGTATAAAGACATGTGCACGTTCAATAAAGGATCCACTGCATAGAGGTAACAAGGTTGTTCTAGTCTATACAATAATCTCACAACAAAAATCTCTGGTCAAATCAGAGTCTAATGAAGTTGGACTTCAAATTATGATTATTGAATATAATTGACATTTTAAGTTTTAAATTAGATTTATAAGTTTGATCAAGTTTGATAATAACCTTGATTCAGAACAAGTATTGTACGTGTCCAATAATATTATTACATAATATTTATAACAGAAAGCTTCATTATAATATATTTCATTGTCATCTAGCTTAAATTCTATATATGTATCAATTTAAAGATTGTTGTTTTGTACTTTAATTTGGCCTCCATCATAACCCTAGCTTTTATATATACGGATAGATCCATTGTGGATACAAAAGAAAATGCACAAAGAATACGCTACTTATGCATATATGCCAAACTTTTCCTTTAGGTTTGGGTAAATAGATTCAACAAACGTACCTTTCAAAAAAAATAAAATAAAAAAAGATTCAACAAACATACATACATGTGCAAAACGCTACAATTAAACATAACTTATTTGCGTACGTTTAAAGTTAGAGATTATTCACATTATTAAAATTAAAAATTTAATCTTTATCAATTTTTAAGTTTGGATTAAACTCAATTGATTATTGGTTAGGATATTTTTAGTTATGTTATATCGTAATATAAGTTTGATCCGAATATCGGATATTGAAATTTCACATATATTAGAATTGAAAGTAAAAATTATATTTTTATTTTCATTTCATTCAAATGAATATAAACAAAAATATTTTAAATATTAGCTAATTTTATTTTAAATATTATCTAAATTAAACTTTAGGTAAACTTAATAGGTTATTGATTTGGATATATTTTTAGTTATGTTATATACATATATAAATTTAGTTAGGATATCAAATGTAAAAATCTTACATATATTGGATTTAAAATAAAATTTATATTTATTGAATTTAAACCAAACATATCTTAAAATATAAGGTCTAAAAATCACCCAAAATTAAGCTTGTGTTAATTTTATAACGTTAATTTACAAAAATGAATTTGAAAAAAATAAGTGTTATTAAACATGTTTTCTAAACAAAGAATGAGAAATAGAGAATGAAAATTGAAAAATTAGAAAACAGAAAATAGAAAACAGTCAGTTCCCGTTAGTAAACAGGCTTTTATTTATTATAAATTATAAATAGGTGATCCTATTTATGCCAGATTAATCCTAAGCTCATAAGACCCCGCTCCTAGAGCCATTGCTGATGTAAATTATGAGTCACAGAAAAACGGCTCTAAAATAAGCACAATAAACGATAAAGACAATGAAGAAGCCTAAGATTAAATCAGCAATAGCAAGAGGACGTGAAGGTGCTAAAGTAGCATACATCGCACACAGGAATGCAATTACTACTCCGAAACATGAAAGAATAAGCAATTGAGCCTGCCAATATTTCAGCCTTGCCACAGTTTCAAAGCACCTAGAGTAACGTGAGGCTTCACTCATCATCGCAATGTGAACGGCAATGGAGCAAAAAGAGCATAGGAAAGAAAGAGTATTAGTAATAATAAAGGCCTTAAAAGCTGCATTTTGTAACAATAATGGGTACCCTTTTTCTTCGTGGTATCCTCCTGGCATTGCAATAGCAGCCGCAAAGGTCATGGTTAATATCAATGTTGCCACAACGATGCTTGTTTTACCCTTTCCTATCATAGCTTCAAGTATCTTTTCCTCAGTAGGAATATTTACTCCGTGTTCTGGATCTTGTATCATGCGGTAAGCAAATTTTCTACTATGTAGAAGTCGTTTTCTACTCATGTCCTGTGGGGCAGTGACTCTTTGTGCTTCAATAGGAGTTGAGAGTAGAGAAAGTATGTATGGACAAATATAACAGAATCAGTAGTACTCAAAAAAAGAAATTAAAGTGTACTCACTGTCAAAAACGCAAAAGCCATGCCAAATATGGATTGGTGTTTCTTATTGAATGCAAAGTAATTCAGCATAGGGCGCCCAAATATAAAATAGTCCATAGTTCTGCTGTCAGTAATGTCAAGCAGGTGCAGCGGTGTGTTGCCATCCTCATCTTTGTGAGTCACAAGGTTTTCAAATTGGCCGGAGCTTTCTTCTATATGTTCTATCACATTCACTTTCTTGCTCAGTATTGCTTCATGCAATACATTTTGCCCTTTGCTATTCAGCATCTCCCATTGCTTCATGCAATACATTTTGCCCTTTGCTATTCAGCATCTCCCAGCAATCTGGGCACCTATTTGATATCTCGTTCATCATTTCAACATTACTATGCCTTGCTGCTATGTGGAATGTTGTTGTCCACATAGTTTTGTCGTCGTCACTGCCCCTTGCAGGAATGTAAGCTGCAGATGTTTTTCTCTCAAGTATCATGCGAGCAGCTTTATCATTGTTATTTTTTGCGGCATAGTGTAGTGGAATCCAACCAAAAATATCAATTTCCTCGCATAAACAAATCTTTTTTTCCAACAGTGATTTTGTGCATTCTGTGACAAACTCTTCACAACTACTTTCAATGTGATACTCCCAAAATAGAATCTTTACTGACTTAGATATTTTAGTGTAGCCAAAACCTGTCCGTCATATACCATAACATACTCAGTAAAATTAATTAATTAATTGCACCATGATTATGATAGATAGATCATAGATGTTTTCAAATTAATAATATAAAATATTCCATACCAAGCTAATTTAAAAGGTACGATTTTGATTACATACATATATAAAAGTAATGATTTATTTTTAATTCAAATTAGTATTAATTTTATTTTACAAAAAGTATTACAATTTCTTTCATAAGAAACAATTTACATACATATAAGTATTACAATATTTAGGGTTGGGGATTCAGCATTTTGGGATAAGTATTACAATATTTACACTAAAAATTAAACTTTGTAAGTATATATATCACAATTTCACTTGTAAGCTAGTATTACAATATTAGTCATTATCAATAATAACAAACTAGCTTGGTTAGCGTGAGTGGCCATGCACTCTCATTCTTATGAAACTGCAGTGTGTGAACCATACAAAATTGTAATAGACAATTTAATTTGTAGGAATAACAGGCGTTTGGTATACTTTATAGCAAAACTCTAATAGGCAATTTATTTCCTTCATTTTAATATTACTAGCTCCGATCTTATTATCCTTACATGCAATGTTGTTGAAATATATATATATATATATTATTCAATTATCAATTTAATTAACTTTTTTTTAGTGAAAACAAAACACTAACTGTTATTTAATTTGGTATAGATCTAACTTAGAACATATTATACCTTGTCCATGAAATAATAAAAGAACGGTTGATTAACATTATATTTTGAAGTATAAGTATTAAATTTTAATTTTGACTCGACTCGAATGTCTAAACCACAAAGATACTAAGACAGTCTCTTAAAATTTTTATCAAACCTGATAAGATAGCTGCGTGGAGAGCATTGCGACCCAGCGGTCCACCATAAGTAGGATTTTTGCATGTGTTGAGCATTTCCTCCAAGCAGCCATGAAATTGCAACTCTGCTGCTATGTAAATCGGTGTCTCTCCGTCATCGTTGGCAAGGTATTCAAATTGAGGATCCTCTTGAATCAGTAACTTGACCACCTCCAAATGCCCCATTCGCACGGCCTTGTGCAAAGCAGTGTCTTTCACATCATCCCTCATCTCTATCATCTCCCTCACTCGACCACCTGCAGATTCCACATCTTCATGCTTCTTAATGGCGCTGAAGATGACAGACACTACGTCATCATAGCCCTTCTCTGCTGCACAGTGTAGCACACTTTCATTTCTGTTGTTCTTGGCAAACAACAGGGACATGGCTGCATCATCATCCTTTACTTCTTTTAGGATCTCTTTCACCAAATCTTTGTGACCATGGATTGCTGCAATGTGCAGTACAGTATTGCCCTTCGGCGTAACTTGACGCCGGCGAGCATCTTCCGGCATCTGCCGTAAGGCCTCATGGTAATCTTCAACTTTGCCTTTCACCACTGCTTTGTATAGAAAAGGGTTCATCTGATCAATGACCATAGCGGGTTCCATAATGAAATATTTCACCAGTACGTATGCACTGCTGCTTGCTAGCTAGTTATATATGTATCAAAGATTGTAAATGAATTGGTACTTTGGGACAGCTAGCACTGGCCACTGCCTTCAATCTTATCCATTTTATGCTCATTTAGTACGTTGACCCCACTAATTAGAAAGAAAGTTGCTCACAATGAATTTAGGTGTATTTGAAAATTAGAAAAATGAATTATAGAAAATGAGTCATTTTTCAAAAATATTGATTTCCTTTCTAGTGTTTGACCTGATTGAATTTCAAAAAACTATCAATGGTGTGTATAGTTCATTTTATAGAAACTGAGCAAAATTGTATTAGTGTTATTTATTAAAGACTATTGGGAATGCTTTTACTGTGAATGCATATGGAGTTCCAGGCCCACCATGTCAAACAGCGTTTGATGTTTCTTATTAAAGACCATGGGGGTGTTTGGTTATTGGCTTATCAGCCAAAAATTAGCTGATTTGACCAAAATTAGCTGATTGACTGGTCAATAAGCTGTTTAGAAGTGTTTGGTAAATGGCTGATTGGCTTTGGCTGATTGGGCCAATCAGCCAAAAATTTAAACGCTAGGGTAGGCAGCGTTTTGGAGGAGCTGATGGGTTTTATTTATTAAATGGCAATTTTAGCCTTAGAATATCAATTCCTTTCACCATATCCCTTTCTACTGCTTCAACGTTTCCTAAATTTGCTTTTTACACAGACAAACAGAGCAGCATTTCTAATAGATCAGACCTCAAGTTTTTCAGGTTCATCTTCATCCTCAAAACTCACAAATTTTTTAAATCACTAATTAAAAAAAAAAAAAAAAAAAAAAAAAAAACAGCAACAACAACTAAATTCAGAACTCACAAAAATTTCCCATCACCGTCTTCTTCATCTCTCCTTCGCCATTATTGCGGTCTTTTTCATCTCAATTGCCATCGCCGGGTGCTTCATTCTCTTCGCGATCGACGTTCTCCCCATCTTCTTCGCCATGGCCGTCTTCTTCATCTTCTTGGCATAGATGCCTTTCTCATCTTGCCATCGCTGCTGTGGGTAGGGATTTTGACTGGGTTTACCCAGCTTGTGGTCTTGTGGGTAGGGATTTTGGGATAATAACAATATCGTGTGGGTTTAGGCATTTAGTTTAATAATAATAATTAATAATAATAATAATAATAATAATAATAATAATATTATTATTATTATTATTATTATAGGGCGTGCTGGCATGGGTTTAGGCATTTAGTTATAATAATAATAATAATAATAATAATAATAATAATAATAATAATAATAATAATAATATAATTATTATTATTATAGTGAAATAAATAAAAATAATACACTTATGAAAAACACACACTTTGCTTGCAAATATAATTGGTGACTCAAATTTTAGAATCATTTATAAATAATAAAATGGGAAAATGACACTTTTTCCCCCTAAGTTATATACTTATAGCACTTTTTCTCCCTGAATTATTTAAGTGGCTCTTTTTCCACTTGAAATATTAAATGGACATATTTACCCTTAAAAATAAATATTTCATTTATTTTTCTTCTCTAACAAATTATTACTATAATTTGGTTCAAACCAAAGAGATACTATAGCAACCAAACCAAAATATTCCAATTACAATTTAGAATCAAACGCGATACTTAGAGTTTATTAAAATCGCGAGCCGGAATGACCGGCTCATGTTTCGAACTGAAAAAATAAAATAAATTTTTTGTTGAATGTAGACTATTTTAAAATAAAAAATAAAATTTTAAAATAAAGACGGTTCAAAATCGTGAACCGGATCCGGAACCACCGGTTCACGATTCAGGGTCCAGTTTTTTTTATTCATAAATTTAATAAATAGAAATCTAAATATTGGGTTTTAGATCTGAATCATAACCGAAAACTTTTAATTCGATTACTATAGTGTCCGGTTCAGTTCGAACCAAACCGTGGTCATTGCTACATATACACAATAATTTGTTGGAGAAGTAAAATAAATAAAATGTTTACTTTAAGGGTAGAAATGTCAATTTAATATATCAGGGAAAAAAACCACCACTTTTAAAATAATTGAGGGGGCTAATGTGCTTACATAAATAATTGAGGGGGAAAAAGTGCTATAAATATATAACTTAGGGGAAAAAGTGCCATTTTCCCTAATAAAATTATTATTATTATTATTATTATTATTATTATTATTATTATTATTATTATATGTTAAAATAACATAATAAACACATATCCTTAAAGGTCATTTTACATGTAATCAGCTATCAGCTAACAATTAATTTACCAAACACTTTTCTATAATCAGCTAATACTACCAGTTGGTCAAACTAGCTAATATAATCAGCTATCAACTACCAGCTAAATGAATCAGCTATCAGTTATCAGTTACCAGCCAATTACCAAACACCCCCCATATATATAAGAATCAATGTTTGGTGTAGGAGTAAGAAATGTGAAGCGGTATATGTTGCCATCCTGGTCATAGTAGAAACACATCTCCAGTGGTCTGTCATTTCACATCTCCCATAATAGAAATGCAATTTAATGACAGACAGTGTGAAATGACAGAGTGGTCTGTCATTTCATATGGTCTATCAGAATATCCTTTTTCCAAAAATTTCTCACTTTTTAAAATGAATTCCACTTCCACATCATCAATTTTGTTTTCTCTTCTTTTTTAAAATGAGTCCCACTTCCACATCATCAATTTTGTATATAATAAAATAATATTAAAAGAAATAATAAAAATACAAAAAGACATAAAAAGTTGTGCAGTTGTCCTTTTGCAGCTTTTTCTTTCATTGGCAAATTCTCTCTCCTATTTATATTTTAGCAATTCTCTCTCCAATTTCAATACACATCAGCATAAAAAAAGAATAAATCTCTCTTCCATGTCATTTAGAAAGGGGTAAAATTTCTGGGATGGGGTTAGCCTCAGTTCCAATTGGAGAGTGGTCTGTCATTTCACAAGACCAACTAGGCAGCTCCTAACGAAAGTCAAACTTGTAACCTTAACTTGTAGTTATCAAATTAACAGCATGACAAACTTAATTGGGCTTATCCCAATTCAACATCAACCATCTTTAATTTGATACACAGTTAGCTTGCTATAGTAGTGGTGACATATAATGGAACCAGCTATGCGCATTATTCCTCATATGAAGCCGGCTTTGTATAGAGCGGCAGGCAGGTACACTTGAAGATTATTTCGAGGCCCCCTGGCAGATGACGGCTGAAGGAGCTGAGGACTGTCAAGTTGGGCCAAATGGAAATACTGTGCTGCACGTCGCGGAACTCCACGATGACAATATATAACTGTTTAAATTTTATTTGATGAAGAAAAGTTAATGAAAAAACTGAAACTGAAAAAGAGACATTGTCAATTTTATAAATATTACAAACTTGAAAGTTTACAATGATTAAAAAATTGACTCCATAATTTTTTTAATAAAATTTTCAACCGTTGATAAACCTGGATGAGCGATTGAGATTAGTCCTCCCCCAAAGAGGGTTGTTGGGCCTGAACAAATATAAAATAAATATATAATAGATTTAATTCTAGTAAATGTCCTCTGAATATAGTGATTTTTCACATTTGGTCCTCGTCTTTTAATTTGGACAAATATGACACTTGACAATCAAAATCTTTCCACTATTAGTCCTTCTGTCATCTTAGCGTTAGTTAGCTGTTAAATTAGGGGTAAAATTGTCATTTCATTGCCTAAGTTTCTTTTTCCTCTTTTTTTTTTTTTTTTTTTTTTTTTTTTTTTTTTTGTTCTGATATGGAAAGAAATAGAGCCAGAGGTAGAAGAACATGGCGTGATTTTTCTTAAGGTACGAGAAATCGCAGAGGCTGCTACGTGTGTGAAGCTGTGTTTCTTTTTCCTCTTCTTTCTCCATTTTGGTAGTTGATGATGCATGGACAGGAACACCAAAGGCTCTAAAATCTCAAAAACAAATAATAATAATAATCAACGAAAGTTCTACTTAGCAGCAATAATTGAATTAACAAACAAAACAAACTTTATCCAATAGCATCAGAGCCTTTCATGGTATTCAATCACTTGCAGGACTCGATAATCATGATGTGGTAGAAGCCGTCCATAGGTTAGACATCTCTGATTGTAGGATAACATATAACTTATGAGACCATCATTGGGGGGAAACGGAAACTATTTTCTGGACATTTTTAAACCATAAATGAGTATGCCAATTGTCTACTGGACAAATGTCTTATGAATCAAGCTACATGATCGCATGTCTTGAGAACCAGTTCAGCTATCTCCGTGGTAGAAACAATGATGGCATGAACCAAACCCCAACGCATATACATAATAACACCATGTTTCTTAGCTATGTTATGAATTGAAGATCTTGGTGGGGGAGTTTTGTCCAGCAAATGAAGATGCTCGAAAAGGGGAATATCCTTTGGGCTAGGAGGGAGTTTTTTCTTGATGTTCCGTAGCTCACGGAGAAGATAGACAACGATGGCTACTGCTACAGTTGTCCATATCCAAGCCATTGCTGCAATGATATGAAGCTTTTTCAATTTACAGAATTTGTGTTCAATATCACTATGGAGAACGAAGAGGAAGAATAGACTCATGCAACGAAAGGACGATTTTACTCTTGAATTTCACATCTAACTAACACTAAGATGACGGAAAGACTAATGGCGGAAAGATTTTGATAGTCAATTGTCACATTTATCTAAATTAAAAGACGATCACTAAATGTGAAAAATCGCTATACTCAGAAGACCTTTTCTGAAATTAACTCAAATATAATATTTATATTAAAGAGTCAAAATAGAATACTCAAAGATAGATAATCTGATAATCAAACTATATTCCGAAAACAATTAAGCCTCTAGAATTTTAAAAAGTTGTAATTACACACATTCTTATTGATTTTAGAATATTATCTCTTTTTAAGATGTGGATTTAAACTAGAGATTACACCAGCGGGAGTCCCTTAACTATTGCGATTTGCGGCCCCGTTCTTATAAATAAACGGGGTGGGTGCGGGAGTCCCTTAACTGGTAGGGCCATTATTTTTTTTTTTAATAATAATTTTTGTGGCCCCGTTCTTATAAATAAATGAGACCCTACTATAAGTATAAGCACAATCTTTAAAACCAATATTGTAAAATATATGGTTTTT